AGAGAAACCCCTGAGGGGCTGCCAGGCTCTTTTGAGGGGATTAAAGGGTTCTTTTTAGGGGATTTGGGGCTCTTTTGGGGGGGTTCTGGGTTCTTTTGGGAGCTGCTGCTCTTCAATCCACACTGTTCCAGTATCCCATCTTGGGTTGTGAGCTGGGCTCAGCCTTGGGATCCTCAGGGAAAAGGGATTTGTGTCCCTGAGGGCTTCAAGGAAACCCATGACGGGCTGCAGGGCTTTTTGGGGTGGGTTTCTCAGCTCTTTGGGGGGGCTTCAGGGTTTCTTAGGGGAGTTCTGGGATATTTGGAAAGGCAGCTCCTCCTCAATCCGCACTATCCTGGCGTTCCAGGCTGGGTTGTGAGCTGGGCTTGGCCTTGGGATCCTCAGGAAAAAGGGATTTGCATCCCTGAGGGGCTTCTGAGCACTTTGGGGTGGGTGCCCACTCTGGTGCCCCTCCATGGGCGTGACCTTTGGGAGCTGCTCCCAAATCCCCTTTTCCCACGGGGAGAGTTTTGGGAAGGCTCCGTGTTGCCCAGAGAACAGGGGGACCTCTGATATCCATTCCCAGGGCTTTTCCCAGAGCTGAGAGGATTTGAATCCCTCCCTGAGGGACTCTGGGGGTGACATTCCTGAGGCGGGTGGGGGACGCTGGGGATGGACAGACATCCCATTCCCTGTTCCCTCAGTGGACGACGGACCAGCAGCTGATCCAGACCATCCGCTCCGTCGGAGTCTACGACGTGGTGGAGCTGAAATTCGCGGAAAACCGAGCCAATGGCCAGTCCAAGGGGTGAGAGCCGACGGGATTGGGGTGGGAGCGGGGCAGCCGGCACGTCCCTGGTTTTGGGGAGGGGTGAGGGTGCTTTTCCTGGCTGGCACAGGGGATGCACCCGGAGCCGGGACGGCAAAGCGGAGACTCCCAAAGTGAACAGGAAAGGGAGGAGGGGGCGTGGAACACCGGGATGGGATCAGGAATGGGGGGTCTGTGTGGGGTCGTGGAACACCGGGATGGGATCAGGAACGGGGGGTCTGCATGGGCGGTGGGATTTGGGAAGGGGGTCCCTCACCTGGAGCAGGGGGTGAACCTCCCCGTGTCCCGCGCAGGTACGCGGAGGTGGTGGTGGCCTCCGAGAACTCGGTGCACAAACTGCTGGAGCTGCTTCCCGGGAAGATCCTGAACGGAGACAAGGTGGAGGTGAGGTTGGCCACCCGGCAGAACCTGTCCCAGTTCGAGGCCCAGGCTCGGAAACGTGAGTGCGGCGTCGGGACGACGCGGGCGGGGGGACCCACGGCACACAGAGCCCCCCAAACTCCCCCCCGGACCAGCTGCCAGGCCCAGCCCCGCGAGCCCTCGGCACGGGGGGAAAAGCAGGAGTGCGTGGGGGTTGTTTTTCCCGTTCCTGAGCCGGATTAGCTCCTGACCCGAGTCTTTATGATCCCCTTTTAGGTGCTCCCACACTGCGAAGATCCCTCGTAGCCTCCTCCTCCTCCTCTCCAAACTGAATGGGCTTAAGCTCTTCAGGCTCTGGGCATAGCTAAGACCCTCCATATCTATTAGTAGCTCCAATCTGGATCTGCTCCAGAGTTTTTCCATCCCTGCGGAGGTAAGGTGCCCAACACTGGAGGAATATTCCAGCTGGGACCTGGCCGTATGGCGATAGGTGGTCCTGGCCTCACTCCGCAGCGATGCGACGGGATCCGCAGGGATTGTCCTGGCAGGAGTGTCCAAGGAGGTCTTTGTAGGTCCCATGGCATGTTTGGTGCAAGGAAAACCCCCCCTTCCCGGCCTCCGACCTGCCCCTGGAGTTTTGGTGGAGCAGGGAGCGATCTCTGAGAGTTCCGGGTGCCCTCGGGGCGCAGCGGAGCTTCCATGGATCCTTTGGGAGCCGTGGCTCCCTCAAGCCCCTCCTTTCTCATCCTCAAAACCTCTTTGAACAGAGAAAGGTTTCTTGTCCCTCTTGGAATGCCGAGTTTTCCTTCCTCTGGCAGCGGCTCCACTGCTGTTAGTTCTGTCCCCTCCTTGTGCTCCTCCACGCTCGGGCCTTCCCAAATCCACGTGTGGCTCAGGCTCTCCGGGTCTCTGGGGATCTCCCCCCGCTCCTTGTGGCTTTTGGCTCCTGTCCCTGCGTCCTCCCTGTCCCTCAGGGCACCGTGCGGGTTCTTGGAGAGCTCTTGGAAAAACCCATGGAAGCGGAGGCTGCATTTGGCCAGCTGGATCTTTTCCCTGGGCACCTCCAGCTCTCCGGGGGTGGGAGGAAGAGGAGGAGCAGGAGCTCTCCGAGACCTGGAGACCCTCCAGCTGGAATTCACAGCTCTCCCCCCTCCCCATCCCGATTCCAGGTGTGCCGCCGCGGGCCCACTCCCGGGATTCCGTGGACGCCGTGGACGGCCGGGCGACGCCGACGGACAGCGCGCTGCCCCCTTCCCGCATGGAAAAGCCCCCCTCGGTCCTGCCCTTCTTCAGCCGCCCCCCCGCGCTGCCCCTCATGGGGCTGCCCCCCCCGCCCATGCCCCCCCCGCCCCCCCTGTCCTCCGCCTTCGGGGTCCCTCCTCCTCCTCCCGGAATTCCCTACCAGCACCTCCTGCCCCCGCCGCCCCGGCTGCCCCCTCCCCTGGCCGTGCCCCCTCCGGGGGCCGTTCCCCCCGCCCTGCACCTCAATCCCGCCTTCTTCCCGCCTCCCACCGCTGCGCTGGGACCCCCCCCGGATACCTACGGCAAGGCCATGGCTCCCTACAACCACAGCAGGTGAGCCGGGGGGGGAGTAGGGGTGGGAAGGGAGGGTGGGATGCTCCCGGAGGCTTTGGGTGCCCTGCTAATCCCGGAATTCCAGCAGCCGGGAGCTGGGCCCGCTGCCCCCGGCCGTGAGCGAGGGGGAGTTTGAGGAGATCATGAACCGCAACCGCGCCATTTCCAGCAGCGCCATCTCCAAGGCCGTGTCCGGCGCCAGCGCAGGTAATTCCCGCCTCCTTCCCAAACCCTGTCCTGGGGTGGATTCCCTCTCCTGATCCCTCTGCTCCCGGCTTTCCCAGGCGACTACAGCAACGCCATCGAGACGCTGCTCACGGCCATCGCCGTCATCAAACAGTCGCGCGTGGCCGGGGACGAGCGGTGCCGCGTCCTGCTCTCCTCCCTCAAGGATTGCCTGCATGGAATAGAGGCCAAATCCTACAGCAGCAGCTCCAGCAGCAGCTCCAGGTATCCCTGTGGGTCCCACCTAACCGGATGCTGGCCCTGGATCCGGAGATCCAGCCCGGCGGGGCCCGGGGTGAGTGACTAAAAGGTGCCTCTTTTGTCTTCTCATCCCGCTCTTCTCCCAAGGAAAAGGCACCGATCCCGGGAGCGCTCGCCCAGCCGGTCCCGCGAGAGCAGCCGGAGGCACCGGGATCTGCTGCACGGCGACGAGCGGCACGAGGATTATTTCCCGGAGCGGAGCCGGGAGCACGAGCGGCACCGGGACAGGGACAGAGACAGGGACCGGCACCACTGAGGCAGGTCGGGGGCCCGGGAGCCCCGGGGGAGGAGGGACCAGGGGGGCTCTGACCTCACCCCCCCCTTCTCTCCCCGCAGGAATTCCGCAGGAAGTGGTTTTTAATGGACTCGTATCTCCTCACCTCGACACACCCCGAGGCCGCTCCGCCCCATCCCGGCCCCTTCCCAGCCACTCCCAGCCCTCTCCCAGCACCTCGTGGCCTTGGGAATCCCCCCCACCTGCTGCTGCTGCTGCTTCCCGGGGCCATCCCGCTCCGCTCCGTGGACACTCGGACCCAAAGAGAAATGGTGCTTTTATTCCATGGAGGGAGGTTTGTGAGCCCTTCCCAATCCGGGGAGGGGGGGAACGGAGGGGACGGAGCCCTCCCGATCCCGGGATCAGGAGCCACGTGCCGGCCTCTGGATCGGCTGGGGACACTCCTGTCCCCGTCGCCCCGGCGGGACACTGGGCCACTCTCCTCCTTTTCCACCCTCGCCCTCCAGGAGTTGGGAAAAGAGGGGCTGGAGCTGGGCCGGGGGTCACCCCCTTCTCTATCCCGACATTCCCCACAGCAGCATTCCCACCTGAACGGCAGCTCCGGCCTCTCCCGCGGCGCCTTCCTTGTTTTAGAGGAAGCGGAGGAGGCAGGGCAGGCTGCGATTCCCTCGGGTCCCCTCCTGATCCCTCGGGATCCCCGAGCAGGAGAGGGAGAGCCCGGGAGGGTTGGGATGAGCCGGGACACACCGGTGACTTCCAGGGCTGGAATCGCCCCCCGGAGCTATTCCCAGGCGGGAAAACCCAGGCTCTGGGAAGTCTTTTTAAGTTGAACTCTCCCCAAAATCAGGAATAACACCCCCTCCCGATTTCCCAAGCCCCACGAGGTGGGAGCACTCGGCAGGAGAGGTCCGGGTTTTTTTTACTTAAACGCCACAGATTTTTAGTTTCTTTCCAAATAGTGGAGGGGGGGGAAAAAAAATTCCCTCAAAATTGCAGAGCAAATCCCTGGAAGCCCCAGCGAGGAGCTGCCCCCTCCTGCTCGCAGTGATTAGATTTGTCTTTGCATAGGTTGAAAAAAAATTGTGTAATAAACTCGATTACGTTGTCAAGTCTTTTACACGGCGCTCCCGTCACGTTCCTGCCGTGGGATTTGGGAAGGGGAGGGATCTGGGGGAGCCTTTAGTGCCTGTTTTGCCTCACATCGTCCTCTGAGGGGCTCCCGTGTTTCCCAAGGCAGCCCGGAGTGCTCCCACATTCCCAGGCACCAGGTAAAAATAAATATTTATTGGAAAATAGCGAACTGTTCCGGAAGGGCGTAGAAAAAATAAGGATTCTTCGTACCTTGAGCTGGCACAAACTCGGAGGGGGCGAGTCCGGGCGGGAGCAGGTCCCTGGCACGTGCTGCGGGTGAGGTGGGAAGCGGGAAAAGCAGGAGGGATGTGTCCAGGTGGGAGTGGGAAAGGTGGGAGGGATGAGTCCAAGTGTAGAAGTGGGAAAAGCAGGAGGGATGTGTCCAGGTGGGAGTGGGANGGGATGTGTCCAGGTGGGAGTGGGAAAGGTGGGAGGGATGAGTCCAAGTGTAGAAGTGGGAAAAGCAGGAGGGATGTGTCCAGGTGGGAGTGGGAGGAGTAAGAGGGAGGATTTGTCCAGACGGGAGCAGAAAAGGTGGGAATGACGAGTCCAGGTAGGAGCAGGAGAGGTGGGAGGGATGAGTCCAGGTGAAACGAGGAGTGGAAAAAGTGGGATCCCTCCCTTTCCCAGGGCTGGGAAGTGGAGCTGGCACCGGTCACACTTCCCTGTGTCCCTGGGCCGTGTCCCCGGTGTGGCCTCAGTAGGGATCCGCGCTACGGAAAAGGACAAAGGGAGGGATGTGTCGGCACCAAACCAACCTGGAAACTCCCACGGCGCGTCCCCAGTCCCGGGATGCGGCACCTGGAGAAGGAGAGCAGCGCCAGGAGGCCCAGGAGCAGCTCGAGGCCGTAGAAGAGGAGCAGGATGGCGCTCAGGAAGGATTCCAGGCGCAGGGAATAGGTCTGGAGCAGCAGGTAGTACCCGGCCAGCGCCGCCGCCGGCACCGTGAGCGCCAGGCTGAGCGACAGCGGCACCTTCCGCCGGCACAGGTTCCCCTTGGAGCCTGCGGGATACACGGGATCAGGGCGTGCCACGGCCAGGGACACCTTCCACTGGGCCAGGTTGCTCCAAACCCGGCTGTGAGAACTTCCAGGGACGGGGCAGCCACAGCTTCCCCGGGAAATCCGTTCCAGTGTCTCGCCGTCCTCACAGGGCAGGATTTCTTCCCAGTATCCGATTTAAACTAGCACATGGAATCCTGGAATGCTTCGGGTTGGAAAGGACCTTATATTCCATGTCGTTCCCACCCCCTTCCGTGGGCAGGGACGCTTTCCACCAGCCCAGGTTGCTCCAAGCCCCGTTCAGCCTGTCCTGGAACATCCGGGGCTGGATTTCGGGGTTATCCCAGGACTCTGCACTCCCCGGGAGGGAACTCACCGAAGAAGATCCGCGTGGCCTCAGTGCCGAGGTAGAGGAGGAGCAGCACCACGTCCAGCACCAGGTTGGAGACGGGATAGGGCAGGAGCAGCACTGCGGGAAAAGCCGCGCGGGAATCACATCCCTGCCCGTCCCGGCGGGCTCGGGAAGGGGGCTGGAGCGGGGGGCTCACCCTTGTACACGAACACGAACGCCTCCAGGAGGAAATAAGTGGCGCTGTACCAGCCGTTGAGGAAAAGCAGGATCTGCAGCGGCGCCGAGGAGCGATGGCGGCCTGAGGGGACACGGGGCGGCCGTGAGGGAGGGGCGCGGGGGGGGCGGGCCGCGAGCCCTGCAGCGCCTTGGCCGCCCCCCGGCCCCGCTCCCAGCCCCACTCCCATCCCCGGTTCCCCCCAGGATCCCCCGATATCCCGCTTTTCCCGCCCCGGTCCCGCTCCCACCCCTGGGCGCCATCTTCCATCTCCATGGGAACCGCCGCCGCCGCGCCCGCCCGCCCGCCAAGGGGCGCTGAGCGCACGGCCAGGGCCGCTCTACGCGCCCCTCTCGACGGTCACGCCGCCGCTCTACCCGCGCCTCTCTATGGTATGAGGACGAACAGGCCGGGCCGTGGGTTCGAGACCCCCGCCCTCCCAAATCCTACGATCCATTGGGACGAGAATCCCACGCCGCAAACGTGGGAATAACCCCGTCTGGTGGCTGCAAGTGCAGCACTGACCGGGTTCCAGTGAAGGTCAGGCTGTGGGAATGGCAGATGTGACACCGGGGGGTCCAGGGAGGGAGAAACACCCGGGAGCCGCTGGAAAACACATCCCATTTATTCCTTTACAGTTCCCAAAAATATTCCAGCCCCAACCGAGGCCGTGGTGCCAGGATGGACATTCCTGCAGGGACACCCCACAAGCCTCCCACTGACTCCCAGCGTCCAGGAGGCAGAGGAGGAAGGACAAGGCGGGACTGATCCCACGGAGCGCAGGGAGACTCCAGGGGATGCCAGGGATCCATCAGCCACGGAAGTGGGCAAATTCCTGGCGGAGCCAGAGGGAATCCTGGTAGAAGAGGGGGTCTCCCAGGTGCACGGCTGTCCGCTTGTAGAAGTAGCAGTAGAGCACGGCCGCTGCGGGAATTCAAGGGGATTCGGTGACTGGGATTTCGGATCTGGGTCCAAGGGGTGCGGGATCCCCCTCAGCCCCGATCCCAGGAGTTCTTACCCAGCCTCTGGAAAACGAAGAGGGTCTGGAGGCCTTCGGTCCAGATGAAGCGGCTGGAGTCGCGCCAGCGCAGGTTCTGAAGGGATGGAAAACCGGGAATAACCCCTGGAGCAGTTTGGGGAGCCCCCTTCCCAAAGATTCTGAGGGTGATGGACAGCTGAGAATAACCCCTGGAACAGTTTGGGAGGGTCCCCTTCCCAAAGA